AAAGTTCTGGTAGAACTCAGTTGAGAATTGATCTGTTCCTGGACTATTCTTTGTTGAAAGGCTTTGAATTGCTGCTTTAATCTTAATGCTCAATATTGGCCTTCTTAGGTTTTCTATAGCCTTAGTTAAATTTGGGTAGATCATATGTGCCTAAACATGTTAACATCTTACATATTTTCCAGCTTATTGAAGTATTATTTTCAAAATAGGTCCTAATGAACATCTGTATTACAGAAATATCTGTGGTAATATCTCCTTTTCATCTCTCATTTTATTGATTTAGGTCTTCTCTTTCTTTTGGTGAGTTTGGTTAAGATTGTATCAATTTTATTTACATTTTAAAAGAATTAATTCTTTGGTGCAGTGATCTTTGTAATTTTTTTAAATTATCAATTTTATTTCTCACCTTTATTATTTGCTGTCTTTTATAGTTTTTAGAATTTGTTTATTTGTGCTTTTCTAGTGTCTCGAGATGTAACATTAGATTCTGGGATCTCTCTCTCTTTTTTTTTTAAATGTAAGCACTCAATGCTATAAACTTTCCCCTTAGAACTGCCTTCATACTATCCCAGAAATTTTGAAATGTTTTAATACTGTTCTCATTTGTTCCTAAGAACTGTTTGATTTCTCTCTGAATTTATTCTTTGACATATAACTGTTTCAAAAGTTCATCAGTTAATCACCATGTGTTAAAATGGTTTATGTTTTATACTTTGCTATTGATTTCTAATTTCACTTCAGTATGACCTGACAGTATGGAAGAAATTATCTCAATTTACTTTTTGTCCTAAAATATGCTCAATTTTAGAAGTGATTCCATGTGTGGGTCAGAAGAAAGTCAATGTGGTTGCTGATGGATGAAATATTCTAGAGTTGTTCATTAGGTCCATTTGATTGACAGTATGCCTAAATTCTGAAGATTCTTAACTTGGTTTATTTTGTATGACCTGTCTATTGGTAAGAGAATTGTGTTGAAATCATCCACTATTATTGTATTGGGGTCTATTTGAGTAGGGGTGCACTGATATTTGGGTCATAAATATTTACAAATCTTATATCTTGTTGGATGATTCCCTTAACCAATAAGAAGTGCCCTTCTTTTTCTCTTCAGATTAATTTCAATTTGAAATCTACTTTGCCAGATATGAGCATAGCTACTTCTGCTTGCTTTCATTCTCCATTTGCTTGGTATATCTTTTTCATATTTTCACCTTCAGCTTATGGATGTCTATGACTGTAAGGTGAGTGTCTTGTAAGAAAAAAATAGTTGGGTCTTGGGTTTTAATCTTCTCTACCAATCTATGTCTTCTGATTGGAGAGCTGAGACTACTTACATTCAATGTTATAATAGGGAGATTAGTTTTATTTACTGCCATATTAATTTATTATGAATTTGCTTCAATCTTGATTCTCCTTTACTGAGTATTCTCCTAGTGAGATTCATCCATTTCCTGGCTCTGATATTTTATTTCATTGCTGCTTATAATGCATCATTATGTGTGTTCTGTAGTGCTGGTTTACTGTTATAAATTCTATTAGTTTCTTATTATCATGGAAGGTTTTTATTTCATCTTTAATGCTGAAGAATAGCTTTTTCTGAATGTAGCAATCTTATTTAGCAACCATTATCTTCAGAACCTGGTAAATATTAATCTAAGCCCTCTCAACTTTTGGAGCCTGGGCTGTGAGCTTAGAAGAAGCTTATCTCAGAGTATAAACTGCTCTTTTTCTATTACCGCTTTTAAAATTCTATCCTTATTCTGTATATTCATTTTTAAGTATAATGTTCCTTGATGAGGATATGTTTTGATCTTGTCTATTGGGGTTATAATGTCTCTTCTATTTGGATTTTCACCTTATTCCTAAGGTTTGGGAAATTATCTGATAGCTCCATGCTGAAAAGAGTTTGCATTCCTTTACTTTGTATCTTAATGTCTTATTTTATGCCAAGGATTCTTAGTTTTGTTCCCTTAATGTTGTCCCAGATTTCTTTTATGTTCTTGGTCATGGTCTCTAACTATTTTTCTTCATTGTTGACTTTGTGTTCAGGATTATACTCTTTGCCTGTGAGACCTGAAAATCTGTCCTCTATGTGGTCCAATGTACTGATGATCTTTTCTACTGAAAACAGAACAAAACAAAACATTTTTTGGTAGTAGAGATTGAGCCCAGGGGTGCTTAATCAGTGAGCAACATTAGCAGCCCTTTTAATTTTAATTTTTAAATTTTAAGACAGGGTTTTGCTAAGCTGCTTAGAGCCTTGCTTATTTGCAGAATCTAGCTTTTAATTTGTGATTCTCCTGCCTCAGCCTCCCAAATTCTAGGATGACAGGTGTGTGCCACCATGTCAGGCTGTATTTTCAATTTGATTTATTGAGTTTTTCACTTTCAGTGTTTCTATATGTTTATTTTTCTTTCATTATCTCTGTCTCTTTATTGAAATGATCTGCCACTTCCTATTTTTCCTCTTAGTTCATTCCTTAGATGTACTTTTAGTTCATTAAACATTGTAACTATCATCTTTTTCTGATCTTCCTCTACTGAGGTGTCAATGGGGTCAATTTTTCTCATGTTCTGAGCTATTTGAAGTAACATGCTCTCCTGTATTGTTAGTATTTCTACCCACCTGCTTGTATTACTTACTATTGCTTCTACATTTATATAAAGGGCTTTGGGTGAACTGCTTTCCCTTTACTATATTATGTGCCCTGGGTTAGGTGAGAATCTTGTCAATATTGTCACTCAGTTTGACCGTGGTAATATGTTCAGGCTTTAGCACCACATTGAGAGGAGGTATCAATCCCATGATTATAAGTCCTTTGCAACCAAGCCATATACTAATAAACCTTAAAAAATTTATTGAGCATGTTCTTCTGCAGTCCACTGATCTGATTGGAAATGGAAGTGAACTTTTTTTTTTTTCATAAGTTGAGAAATTAGGTAATAAGAAAAGTAAAATTGCTTTTAAACTATTTTTGGCTTTCTGGTCAGGTATTCTCTCGGTGCTTTGATTCTGGATTGTGAAAAAGTCAAGACATATTGCCTATTTCCACTCCCCCCATCTTCTGAGAGCCTATTTATGTATTTACTCATTTGTTTGTTTTGTGAGTTTTTTTTTTTAAATAAAGTTGGTTCTTTCTAAGTTTCAGACACTGTACAGTTTGTTTTTTTCTCAAGTCTGACCCAAAGTGATCCAACTTGTTAGGAGAGTCCGTATGCAGATTTTCACTCCCTTCTTGCCCTACTGGTTCTGATGCATCGCTCCTTTTGGTAGCCTCAGACCATGTGGAGAGGAGAGTAGGCTGTGTCAGCCTTTCTCCAGCCCTTTTAAGGTTTGAAAGGAGTGACTCAGGGGTCACCAGATTTGGTGTGAATTTAATTGGTCTCAGTTTCCCAACCACCCCATTATTGGCCAGGCTCCTTTTCCCACAGCTCTGATTGCCCGTTTGAAGGGAAAGAGTCCTTGACTCTTCTCTGCTTAGTAGACTGTTTTTCAGGCTGTGTTGCTGTTTTGATTCACTCTTAAGGAGCTGCTATGATGATATAGATTCCACTGATCCACCTTATCCCATTCCCCAAAGGGATAAACTAAACAGATTAAAAGGATCTTAAAAATACAGTTCATTAAGAGTTTAGAAATTAGAGTATGAAGTCCACAGGAAGAGAGAATATCCAAAGGGGAGAAAGTTAAAGAGAGGTAGCATGTGGGGCCATAAAGAAGGAGGAGAAAGGAGGAGGAGAAGATGAAGAAGGAGGAGAAGGAGGAAGAGGAAGAGGAGGAGGAGGAGAAACATTTACAAGGATGTGGAGAAATTCAAACCCTGCTATACTGGAGGGGATATTTAATGATGCAGGAGCCATAGAAATTGTTATATAGCTTTCTCACACAGACACAGATGTTCTGTATGATCCAGCAACCATACCCCTGGGTATTTAGGGGAAAGAATGAGATCAGAAGCTTCTAGATACATTAGCATTATCATGTTCAAGGGAGCACTTGGAACAAAAACCTAGCTTGGAAACAACCCAAATATCTATTGATGGAAGAATGGGTCAAAAGAATATGGAAAAATCCTACACTAGAATGCTCTTCAGGCTTAAAAAAGAGGGAAATTCTCCCCTATGTGCATGGGCCATAGGCTTCTCTCCCAATGAATTAATGAAGGACAAATTCTACAGGGGTTCCACCTATATATGCAGTATGTAAAATAAATCAACTCAGATAAGAAAAGAACAGAGTGGTGGTTTCCAGGGAGATCAAAGTGGGACTTGCATATAAATAGATATGCCATATCCATTATGGAAGATGAATAACTTCTAGGGATCTTTGGTATAGAGTAAGATACAATGACAATGTATTTGCACTTAAAAATCTATTTAGCCCTCATTTTTCACCTCAGGGTCTCATAGCACAGGCAAATAAAAAGAGATAATATGTTGAAGGGTATCTAGATTGGTTGCATAGTTTAGCTATTGTGAATTGAGCTGCTATAACCATTGTGTGGCTGTATCACTGTAATATGCTGATTTTAAGTCCTTTGGGTAGAAACTGAGGAGTGGGTTAGCTGGGAAAAGTGGTGTTCTCTTCCACGTTTTCCAAGTGAATAAAAAATGTATATATACACAATGGAATATTACCTATTAAAGAAGAATGAAATTGTGGCATTTGAAGGCAAATACATAGAGCTGGAGAATATCATGCTAGTAAAATAAGCCAATACCCAAACACCAAAGGTCAAATGTTTGCTCTGATATGTGGATGCTAATTCACAACAAGGGGGAAGCTAGAGAAGAATGGATTATGTAGAGGGGAGTGAAGGGAGGGGAGGGGGATGGGATAGGAAGGATGGTAGAATGAATCAAACATTATTATCCTATATACATATATGATTACACAACGATGTGATTCTACACCATGTGCAGTCAGAAGAATGAGAAGTTATACTCCATCTATGTATGAGTCAAAATGCATTCTACTGTCATGTATAACTAACTATAACAAATAAAAAAGATAGACAATATGGAATGAATAAAGGTCCAGTTTTTATTAAGAATCTATGAAATTTTTGGCAGTACTTAGGCAGGCAACTGAAGGTGACTATGATAGAAGAAAGTAGCATACAGAAATATGGAAGAATATGCAAAAGAAATCATGACTATAAAGATGAAGGAACTGTTTTATACAGCTATGTAATTCTTCTAAAGAAGTGTCCTATTTTCTTTACATAGTGAGATAAAGATTTTGGCTCCAGAATTCCAACCAAGATCATAAGTCCCCAACAAGGACCTATGAAGATGGTCCAAGTTCACAAGGTGTAAGGAACAAGATGAGAGTGGGGGTGGTCTGCATTCTATCAAGGTGATTCGCAAGGTCTTACATGAGGGATGATGAACATAATTTCTTATGACACTGTGATTGTTTTAAGCCAAGGTAGGAGGAGAATTGGTGCAAGTAAGGCAACAGGTTGAGAGGAGTTTGTAGACACTGGTGTTTGGGGAGTTGATCATGGGCAGCAAGGACGGCAGCAGCTGCACACACAGCAGCAGGGCTGGCAGCAGGGTTTGCTGCAGCAGCGGATCACATGAGATTTTTTGGAGCAGGTGGTCTTGCAGCAGGTGGTTCTAGAGCAAGAAGGAGGGCAGCAGGGCTGGCAGCAGGGGATGATGCAGCAGCTGGGGCAGCAGCAAGGCTCACAGCAGGGTGTGCTGCAGTAGCTGACCACACAGGTTGGTTTGCAGCAGGTGGTCTTGCAGCAGGTGGTTTCACAGCAAGTTGGGGGACAGCAGGGCTGGCAGCAGGGAATGATGCAATAATTGGGGCAGCAGCAAGGCTCACAGCAGCTGGGCTTACAGCAGGGTGTGCTGCTGCAGCTGACCACACAGGCTGGTTTGCAGCAAGTGGTCTTGCAGGAGGTGGTTTCACAGGAAGTTGGAGGACGGCATGGCTTGCAGCAGCTGGACCCACTGCTGGTTTTACCACTGCAGCTAGAACCACAACAGCTGGGTGGACAGCAGGATGTGCTGCAGCAGGTGTTCTCACAGGCTGGTTTCCAGCAGGTGGTCTTGCAACAGGTGGTCCTGCAGCAGGTAGGCTTGCAGCAAGAGGAGCAGCAGGAGCGGGCCATGGTGTGAGCTGTGGAGGGTGGGATCCTGTTCACAGGTGAGTGAGTTTGCACAATATGAGGACTCCTTGCAGTTGGGCTCTTTTATCCTGGGGACCTCCAGCGTTTGGACCAATCAGCAGCTCTTGACCTTGTTGTTTTTTACATTATTTTCCATACTTAGTTTGCGTTTTTCAGGAAGAATTTGCTATGCAAATGTGATGAGTATTGTGTATGTGTTTAATCTGTTTCTTAAGAGCGTGTAACTCACAAGAACTGTTTCCAGATGAAAGGAAGACAAGTCACTTCATTAGCATCCTTGGTGCTCTGAGCATCATTTTGGTCATGTGGTGGCTCCTACTGCCCTGGGAGGGTCAGCACTTGTTCTAGAATATTTTTGCTTTGTCTATATTCAGATTAGGAAGTGGCTGTGGGAGGAGCATGATGCTGCTGTATTCACAGTGAGGAACCACTCACGTGTTCATCCAGAGGATCCTGACTCAGGGCTGGTTGAGGCCTCTGGCTCTGTACCAGGTCTTCCACGTGTGTGTCTCCAGGCATTTTGGAAGAGGATGGTTGGCATGTGGTCTTCCATAGCAGAACAGGACCAGAAAGTGAGGATAAAAGCAGAAGCTGCACATGGGGATGAGACAGGTATGGATGGATGTGTGGGTGGCCATTGGTCCTGTTTTATCCAGTACTGAGGGCTCCCCAGGATGAGCCTGTGGGACTTTCTTCCACATGAGCTTTGCAGACCCAGGAAAACCAGGATGATCAGGTGAATCTGTTTCTCATCTTGGCACCAGTGGACTGTGTGATCCTAGGTCAGGACTTTCCTCTGTCTTTCCCTCTTTCCTTTTATCCATGTCTCTTGTCTCTTTCTCTCCCCTCTTTTCTCATTTCCTGTGCTGCTTTTTTGCCTTCTAATCAATTTCATGAGGGAATTAAGATTAGGTGATATGGTTCCTGATTTATCTATGAGGACTAATGCATTTGAAAATATATTTAGATCTCCCATTCTATTCCAGAGGAAACAATTTATGAGTTTCCAGGTTGGTGATGTATTCTAAAATGAATGCATTCCCTGCCGCTATCACCAGGTTAGGAAATAGAAATAATCCCATTGCCTACAAACCATATCCTCTCACTCATCCCCAAAGGGTGCTAGTTAATCATTCTGTTGACTTGTAATCTCAGTCAACTTTTGCTTTTCTCCATTTTAGGATCATCAAAAGAATAGAGTAGGTAGGTCTCTATATTAGGAGTGTGACACTCATTATATGATTCTCTTCAGATTGTTCATTCTCAGTGTGTAATATTTACAATGAAGAACTTGACACAATTTGCTTGTTTGTTGTCCTCTAGATGAACATGTAGCTTGTCTGTAGCTTGGGACTACTCAAATTTGTGCTGTTATTAAGTGATTTTGCAGAGTCTGGGCTCACATGTATAAACATTTCTGGTGGATACACAACTAAGTATAGGATTGTTTATAGAATTCCCAGGGGGGAAGATTTATTCCCCTCTTTGTGGAGGCCTTCTCCACATTTCACTGGATTTGTCCTTAGATATATTATTATGTACACACGTTGCATGTTCCAATTCAAAGCTTAAATTTTCACTGCATCATTAGTATTGACAATGTTCCAATTTCTTATGTGTTCCTTATATTCGAACACTCTGATGATTTCTAGTACCACATTGTAGATTTTTTAGGGGAGGAGCAAATGGTCAGGCAGTCATGTCATGAACGAGAACATTCGTTTGGCTCACTTTAGCATAGTCTTTCTATTTTTCATTTTTCTTGCCTTGGCCCAGCGGTAGACCCTCTAGTACAATTGTGTAGCAGATGGGTACTTTTGTACAATCTCAGCATAGAAAGGAGAGCTCTCAACATTTCCCCATTACATGTGGTCCTCCTTGTCCTTTAAAGTTCTGGTAGAACTCAGTTGAGAATTGATCTGTTCCTGGACTATTCTTTGTTGAAAGGCTTTGAATTGCTGCTTTAATCTTAATGCTCAATATTGGCCTTCTTAGGTTTTCTATAGCCTTAGTTAAATTGCTTGTTTGCAGACTGCAATTTACTCAAACTCATGCTGCTATGTTTTTGCACTGAGCCTGTGTCCATAAACATTTATGGTGGATACACAAACAGGTCTAGGGTTATTCATACAATTCCCACATGGAAAGATTTCTTCTGTTATTAGTACAGTCTCATCCATTTTTCTCTACATTTTTTCCCTTAGATATTTTATTATGTACACATGCTGTATGTTAAAATTTAAAGCTTAAATTTTTACTGCTTAGGGAATATGAAAAGTGATTCATATTTTGTATGTTTTTTAAATATCTGTATTTCTTGGTTATTTCTAATAGTGTATGTTAGATTTTGGGGGGAGATGGACAAATTTTCGTGTCATGAACAATGATACTTCTTTTCTTCATTTCAGCATAGTCTTTCTATTGTGTATTTTCCTTGCCTTGGTGGGCTCTCTGATCTGCTGGTAGTATACTGGCATCAGATGGGTATTTTTTGTAGAATCTCAGTATAGGAGGGAGAACTCTTTGCATTTCCCCATTATATGTAGTCCTCCTTGTCCTTTCTATAGATTCTTTTCATAAGAGCATGACATTCACATGTGTCTGAATAAATTCTTTGGACAGAATCCAGTTTACAGAAATCAAGTGACCTTTTCTAATGACATTAAAAACCACCAATTCTAAAATTAAGAATCAATAAATGGGATGGATTCAAACTAAAATGTTCTTTTCAGCAAAGGAAACAATCAATAACATGAAGAGAGAGCCTACAGAATGGGAGAAATTCTTTACTACGTACATCTCAGATAGAGCACCAACCTCCAGGATATATAAAGAATTCAGAAAACTTAACATCAAAAACCTCCCAAATAACCCAATCAATAAATGGGCCAAGGAACTGAATAGACACTTCACAAAAGAAGAAATATAATTGATTAACAAACATGAAAAAATGTTCACCATCTCTAGCAATTAGAGAAATGCAAATCAAAACCTCTCTAAGATTTCATCTCACTCCAGTCAGAATGGCAATTATCAAGATTACAAGCAATAATAAGTGTTGGCAAGGATGTGGGGCAAAAGGTACACTCATGCATTGCTGGAGGGACTGCAAATTGGTTCAACCACTCGGGGAACCAGTATGGAGATTCCTCAGCAATCTTGGAATGGAACCACCATTTGACCCAGCTATCTCACTCCTCAGTTTATACTCAAAGGAATTAAAATTGGCATACTACAGTGACACAGTCACATCAATGTATAGCAGCTCAATTCACAATAGCTAGACTGTGGAGCCAACTTAGATACCCTTAAACAGATGACTGGATAAAGAAAATGTGGTACATACACATAATGGAATATGACGCAGACTTAAATAAGAAATAAATTAGGCCTTTCTCTAAACTTAAGTGCAGAAAGACAAACCCTGAGGGTCCTACCCATATGCAGTATATAAAATAGGTTAACTCAGGAAAAAATGAAGTGGTGAATTGCAGAGGCTGGGGTAGAAGGAAGTAGGGGCTTGCATTTCAATTTATATGTCATTTCAATTATGGAAGATGAACAACTTCTAGGATCTGTGGTATAGAGTGGGATATGGTGACAATGTATTTTGCATTTAAAAATCTATTAAGCATCTATTTCACCTCAGGGTTTCTTAGCACAGGCAAATAAAGAGAGACAACATGGAATCAATAAAGGTCCAGGTTTTATGTAAATAGATGGAACTAGAGAATATCATGCTAAGTGAAATATGCCAATCCTCAAAACCCAAAGGCTGAATGTTTTCTCTGATAAGCAGATACTGATCCATAGCAGTGTGTTGGGGGGGCAGGTAGGGAAGAATGAAGGAACTTTGGATTGTGCAATAAGCTGTCCTAAAATAGGTTGAGAGCTGTCCTAAATCTTAATATCTCAAATAATTAACAAATAATAAAACACAAACACTCAGAAATATATTTACAAAAAAGAAGCCCCTGATAGATCTAGTCCACATGGGTTCTTGAACTAGACAAAGACAAAATGGCTCCCATGGTTTATTTAAGGGGGTACATCAAAGGCAGGGGTAAGGTTTAAGAGTGGAGCCTTGCTTTATGATATCTTGCAGTCTACAGGTTGATTGACATCTTGGCAGGTTACACCCATCTCAGGTGCTATGTGGGATCTGAGGCAGAGCTTGAGGGGAAGTTCACCTGCACCAAGCAGTCAATCCTTGTGGGGAGTATCCCAGGGAGTCCCCGGTGCCAGACTTATCCCCTCAGGAGACTACTTATGCACAACATAGTCCACACACAGCCCACAGATGGCTCGTGACATTAATCCACCATGAAGTTTGGATGTTGGCAGTGCCCATCTGGATATGAGACAGGGGAGGGACATTTTCCTAAATATTACAGTTCCTTAGGCAAGACCAAGCATTTTGTCCTGATTGGATGAGATGTCAGTAAACAATGGCATATCATTCTATCATCACCATCATTGCAGTATTGGATTATTGTGTCTGGCTATTCTAGAAAGTACCGAGTAAATGAAGGGTTTGTCAAGGATGGAGAGAAATTGGAACACTGCTTCCCTGGAGGGAATGTCAAGGGTTACATGAGCCATGGAAATCAGTAATGGAGTTTCTCCACAAAATCAGACATGGAAATACCCTATGATCCAGTACTGTGGGGTGTTTAGAGGAAATAATGGGATCAGAAACACGAAGAGCTATCAGCATTTTGGTGTTCAAGGCAGGACTATGAACAACAGTCCAGCTGTGGAAGCAAAATAAATATCCATTGATAAAAGAATGGATCTAGTGAATGTGGTGACAATCTACAATGGAATACTGTCCAAGATTAAAAGGGAAGGAAATACTCCCCTGTGTGCTTACATGGGAGAAATTTAGGCCTCTCTCTAACCCTAAGTGCAGAAAGACAAACACTGTGGGTTCTACCCATATGCAGTAGATAAAATAGGTCAACTCAGGTAGGAAAGAATAAAGTGGTGGATTCCAGAGGCTGGGGTAGAAGGAAGTAGGGACTTGCATTTCAGTTTGTATGTCATTTCAATTATGGAAGATGAACCACTTCTAGGATCTGTGGTATAGAGTGGGATATGGTAACAATGTATTTTGCATTTAAAAATCTATTAAGCATCTATTTCACTTCAGAGTTTCTTAGCACAGGCAAATAAAGAGAAACAACATGGAATGAATAAAGGTCCAGTTTTTATTAAGAATTTACAGAATTTGGCTGTACCTAGGGAGGCAACTGAAGGTGACTATGACAGGAGAAACCAGTATATAGAAGTATGGAAGACAATGCAAAAGAAATCATGACTCCAAAGATAAAGAAGCATTTGCATACACCTGTGAAATTCTGAAGCCCGTTCCTGTGTGCTTTAGATGGAGAGGTAAAGATATTGGCTTCATAATTTCAGCCAAGATCACACCTCGCCAACAAGGACCTATGCAGCAGGCATAAGATGCACAAGGACGAAGGAAGAAGAAGACAGGTGTGGAGTGGTCTGCACTCCCTGGAGGTGATTCACAAATTTTTACATGGGTGACATCTTGATGATCTTCAGCCCAGGTAGGAAGAGAATTGGTGTAGGTAAGGCAAATAGGTTGAGAGGAGTTTGTGCAGATAGATGCTGGTCTTTAGGGAGTTGATCACGAGCAGCAAGGTTTGCAGCAGCTGCACACACAGAAGCAGGGCTGGCAGCAGGGTGTGCTGCAGCAGCGGGTCACATGGGTTTTTTTAGAGCAGGTGGTTTTATAGCAGGTGGTTTGAGAGCAAGTAGGAGGGCAGCAGGGCTGGCAGCAGCCTGGCTGGCAGCAGGTGAACACACAGCAGCAGGGCTGGCAGCAGGGAATGATGCAGCAGCAAGGCTCACAGCAGCTGGGCTCACAGCAGGGTGTGCTGCAGCAGCTGACCACACAGGCTGGCTTACAGCAGGTGGTTTCACAGCAAGTTGGGGGACAGCTTGGCTGGCAGCAGCTGGACCCACTGCTGGTTTTCCCACAAGAGCTGGACCCACAGCTTCTAGGTGGACGGCAGGATGTGCTGCCACAGCTGGTCCCACAGGCTGGTTTCCAGCCGATGGTCTTGCAGCAGGTAGGCTTGCAGCAAGAGGAGCAGCAAGAGCGGGCCATGGTGTGAGCTGTGGAGGGTGGGATCCTGTTCACAGGTGAATGAGTTTGTGCAATATGAGGACTCCTTGCAGTTGGGCTCTTTTATCCTTGGGGCTTCCAACGTTTGCACCAATCAGCAGTCCTTTGCCTTCTTGTGGTTCATGTTATTTTCCATATTCAGTTTGTGTTTGCCTAGGAAGCATTTGTTATGCAAATGTGATGAGTGTGGTGAATGTAAGTGTTTAATCTGTTTCTTAAGAGGGCATAACTCACAGGAACTCTTTCCAGATGAAAGAAAGACAGTCACCTCATTAGTATCCTTGCTGCTCTGATCATCATTCTGATCATGTGGTGGCTACTGATGCCCTGGGAGGGTCAGGGCAGTTGGTCCTCTGGAGCTTTGTTCCTGTGTCTGTATTCAGATTAGGAAACATCTGTCGGAGGTGTTGAAGTTTCCCATGATTATGGTATGGTGGTCTATTAGACTCTTGAACTTGAGAAGAGTTTGTTTGACGAACATAGCTGCACCATTGTTTGGGGCATAAATATTTATGATTGTTATGTCTTGTTGGTGTATGGTTCCCTTAAGCAGTATGTAGTGTCCCTCTTTATCCCTTTTGATTAACTTTGGCTTGAAATCTATTTTATTTGATATGAGTATGGACACTCCTGCTTGTTTCCGAAGTCCATATGAGTGATATGATTTTTCCCAACCTTTCACCTTCAGCCTGTGTATGTCTTTTCCTATCAAATGCGTCTCCTATAGGCAGCATATTGTTGGGTCTTGTTTTGTGATCCATTCTACTAGCCTGTGTCTCTTAATTGGTGAGTTTAAGCCATTAACATTTAGGGTTATTATTGAGATATGGGTTGTTCTTCCAGCCATATTTGTTTATTTCTGTTACTAAACATGGTTTGTTTTCCTCTTTGATTATTTTCCCCCCTTTACTGTCCTACCTCCCACTGTTGGTTTTCATTGTTATTTTCCATTTCCTCTTCCTGTAATGTTTTGGCGAGGATGTTTTGAAGAGATGGTTTTCTAGCTGCGAATTCTTTAAACTTTTGTTTATCGTGGAAGGTTTTAATTTCATCTTCCATCCTGAAGCTTAATTTTGCTGGATACACAATTCTTGGTTGGAACCCATTTTCTTTCAGTGTTTGAAATATGTTATTCCAGGATCTTCTAGCTTTCAGAGTCTGTGTTGAAAGATCAGCTGTTATCCTGATTGGCTTACCCCTAAATGTAATCTGCTTCCTTTCTCTTGTAGCTTTTAAAATTCTCTCCTTATTCTGTATGTTGGGCATCTTCATTATAATGTGTCTAGGTGTGGATCTCTTATGATTTTGCACATTCGGCGTCCTGTAGGCTTCTAGGATTTGGGATTCTGTCTCATTCTTCAAGTCTGGGAAGTTTTCTCGTATTATTTCATTGAATAGACTGCTCATTCCTTTGGTTTGGAGCTCTGTACCTTCCTGTATCCCAATGACTCTTAAGTTTGGTCTCTTAATGTTATCCCATATTTCTTGGATGTTCTGCTCATGGTTTCTTAACAGTCTTGCTGAGCTGTCTATGTTCTTTTCCAGTTGAAATACTTTGTCTTCATTGTCTGATGTTCTATCTTCTAAGTGTTCTACTCTGCTGGTAGTATTCTCCATTGAGTTTTTAAGTTGGTTTATTGCTTCCTGCATTTCTAGGATTTCTGTTTGTTTGTTTTTTATAACCTCTATCTCCCTGTATAGTTGATCCTTTGCTTCCTGGATTTGTTTGCGTAATTCGTTGTCGAAGTGATCTTTCATTGTCTGATTTTGCTGTCTAATGTCTTCCTTGATACTCCAGATCATCTGAAGCATGTATATCCTGAATTCTTTATCTGACATTCCATCTGCTGCAGCTGTTACCTCTTCTAAAGTTGCGTTGACCTGCATTGCTTGTGGTCCTTTCTTTCCTTGTCTTTTCATACTGCTTGCGTATCTTTCCTGCAGGCGCGGGCGGCGGCTCTGCTCTCTCCTTATTCCAATTGGGGTGTCGTGGCTACCACGCTGGCAGGCCACCGGGCCTGATCCGCCGGTCGGTTGCAGGTTTGCCTACCCTGCAGGCACGGGCGGCGGCTCTACTCTGCCCCTCCTCCAAATGGGGTGACATGTCTGTTGTACCGGCAGGCCACTGGGCCTGTCCCGCTGGTCGGTCGCAGATCTGCCCACCTTTCGGGCACGGGTGGCGTCTCTGCTCTGCCCCTACTCCAATTGGGGTGTCGTGACTACCCGCCTGCAGGTCGCTGGGCCTGTTCCTGGCACGGGCGGCGACTCTGCTCTGCCCCTACTCCAATTAGGGTGGTGTGTGTACCACGCCGGCAGGCTCCTGGGCCTGATCCGCCGGTCTGTCGCAGGTCTGCCTACCGTGGAGGCGCGGGCGGAGGATCTGCCCTGCCCCTCCTACCACGCCTGCGGACCCCTGGGCCTGATCTGCAGGTTGGTCACAGGTCTGCTCACCCTGCGGGCACTGGTGGCGGTTCTGCTCCACCCCCACTCCAATTGGGGTCACGTGACCACCACACCGGCAGGGCCTGATCCGGGCGTGGGCGAAGGATCTGCTCTGCCCCTACTCCAGTTGGGGTGACGTGTGTACCACGCTGGCAGGCCGCTGGGCCTGACCTGCCAGTCTGTCACAGGTCTGCTTACGTTGCAAGTGCGGGCGGCGGCTCTGCCCAGCCCCTTCTACCACGCCCGTGTACCACTGGGTCGCGGGTCTGCCCACCTTGCGGGCTCGGGTGGCGGCTCCGCTCTGCCCCCTCTCCAATTGGGGTCACGTGGTCACCACGCCGGCGAGCCGCTGGGCCTGCTCCGGGTGCTGGCGGCGGCCCGGCTCCTCCCCTGTGGCTCGACGACAAATCGAGAGAGACTCGGGTGTCTGTGCCTCACCCCCCCCCACCAGGAGACCAACTGTTTCTGTCGCCGCTGGTATTGATGAAGTTCTCTCCTCCGCCACTTTCTGATGACATCAGATCTCTGCCATGTTGGTGTCCTATGCGAATGGCAGCATTTCGTTCCCCTGTTCTATGGCTGAATGAGCTGCGGTCAGTCGAAAACAGGGATGGTGACGTCAGCTTTCCAACATGGTTGCCGCTGGCCTCCTCTGTGGTCTGACCGGTGTGGAGAACCAAGATGGACCGCTTCCTTCCCCCGTCTCGAACCCAGAATTCAGCCCTGAGTATGGTGCTTGCACGGCTGGCAGAAACTGCAGCGATGTATCCCTGCGTCGCTATCTCCTCGTTTCCCCTCTGTCTTTCTTTCTTCCCTTCTGTCTCCATTTTGTTTTCTGTCCCCCCTCTTTTCTTTCTGTCCATTTCTTTCTTATCTTCTTTCCCCATTATCCTTGATCCTCCTCATCCTTTCTATAGGTTCTCTTCATGAGAGTAATGAAATTTGCATGAGTTTGAATACACCCTCTATAGTTATCCAGATGCACATCGTTCTAGTGACCTGCTTCTAATGACATTAACAATCCTTATCACCAACTAACCGGGCTAGCGACCTATGCTGGGTTCCCATAATCTGGCTACCACAATAACTAAGAAAACAGTTAAAGAAGCACGCAACACACAAATATACCTTTTGCTTGCAGGGATCAGGGATGGCTCTCCACCTTAAAGGTACGTTGGAAAGAGAGAGTGAGCCACTGGAAAATCCTCTATTTATTGGGGGAAAAAGACATTCTAGAAAGTTCAACCCAAATGAGGCAAGGGATTGGGTTTCAGGGGGGTGTAGCCCAGTCTCACTGGGTGATGCCCACTCCCAGAGCATCATTCCTCTGCCTAGCAGAGGTGGGATCTACCTGCTCTCTGCTGTGAGCCAAAGCCAGTCCCACACACCTCTGTTGCTCAAGGCGAAGGGTCCGTGTTCATTCCTGTGTGGCATCTCCCAATAAATCCCTTAAATGACTTGTCTGACATCATGGGCTTAACTGCTGGTGAACAGTAACTTTCTATTTGGAAAGCTTGTGTTTCAGGGATTGGCACCCTGCCTGGTGGGTAAGTTGGAACTGTATCAGCAGCAGTGTGGAGAATCTTTCATCCCTCATTTATTAAGGTGTTGGGTATTGAAAATTTGATGATATTCACAGAATGCTTTTTCTTTATCAGGTGAAGCAATATTATGATTATTCTCTCTTTTCCAGTTATGTGACATTACATTTTTGGAAATGCAAGGGTGCTACACCCACCCTTGCATTTTCAAAAATGGTCCAAAGTTGTCATGGCCAGACCCACATGGGACTGGTCTTGACTCAATTCTACCCTTATCAGAATATATTCTGCTTTGCATTTTAAACTTTTATCCTTCTGTTCTCAGTGTATTTCCTTCACCTTCTCTAATCAAGTCAGCTCCAAAAAAGCTGAGATTTTCCATCCTCTTGTGACCCAGTTTCTCTTGACATGGCTCCATGTCCTGGACTTTCAAAATCACTCTCCTGCCCTCAACATACACCAGCAGTGCTCTTAAGGTGTTGCAGTATTCTTTTTTAGTTAGTACACTGGGAAACCCCAAGGGTTCCTTTCTGAAACATACAACATGGGGAAGAATTCTAAGGAGACTCTCGTACAATAGTTGTTGAGTTTCATTATGTAACTGGAAACATGTGAACAATGTCCAGTCCAATATATTAAAAATTGATATTACTCATTTCTACACCACTATTATATTTTTCTGATGAATTCAAATGAAACAGAGCCTTTAGTCTTCAACTCAAATGATAAGAACAGAAACTTATTTGCAGGATATGCAAGCATCAATGCAACCTACTGAAAATCTGGGGGAAAGTGTCATTGGGAAATAGTCAAGAAGCTGGTGGCATCAGATTAACACCTGATAAAATAACACATGAAACATGAGAACCCTTTTGACTCTTTGAACACAAGTTGTGAATTTAGAAGCTCAAAGGTATTGAAGTAGAAAGACCAACATGTCAATAAATATAATTAGACTTTTATGAGCTCCAATTACATCCTAATGGGCTCTAAATGTTATGTCAGGGAGGAACCCAATGAAAGTTTGCACAAACTGATTGAAGACATCCCACATGGAGTTGATCACTCAGCTTCCACATTCCAGATGGGATGTGGAATTTTCAAGGTGACATTAATAGAAGTAGAGTTCATTTATTGCAAAGGCACCTCAAAGAGAAAAATTGGCCACAAGACTAGCAGCATTTCTTCTAGCCTGGCTGAGGATTTAATGAAAACAAATTTGTATTTTTTTAAAGGTAGTGTTGTGGTGTGCCATGAAAGTTCAGAAGCCTGGGCAGGGGAGAACTGGAAATGTTGACCCTGTCCAGCTGAACATGGAACTGGGGAGAGACATTGTTCTTTGATCTTCCAGTTCTTTAGCCAAGACCAAGTATTTTGCCTGTTTGCATGAGATGCTGGTCAGCAATGTCATCATTCTCCCATTGCAATCATTGCACAGATGGAATAGTGTATCTGGCTATTCTAGAACATTCCCAATACAGTAAGTGTATTAACAAGTATTGGAGAAATTGGAATCCTGCTATACTGGAGGGAATGTCTAATGTTGTTGGACATTTTAGGAAACTCCTAAAATTAAACATAGAAATATTACTCTATTCAGCAACCCCATCTCCAGTGTTTAGGTAAAAGAATTAAATCAGATTCTTGAAGAACTATCAGCATTTCTAACATTTATGGCAGTACTACGAACAACAGCCATGCTGTGGAAGAAATCCAATGTCTGTTGGATGAATGCCTCATGGGAATTTGCCAGAAAACCTACAATGGAATAGTATTCAGAAAAGGAAATTCTGTCTCCTGTACCTACATCATTGAACCATAATCCTTTCTCCTAAATTAACTGAATAAGTCACAAAAGGAACAACACTAAATGATTTCATGTATATGAGGCATTTCAAACAGTGGAACTCAGGCAAAGAAAGAACAGAGAGATGGTTTCCAAAGACTGGAGGTAGGTGGAAGTAAGGAGTTGAAAATCAATAGGTATGCCTTTTAATTTTTTTAGTTTTTTGGTATTGATATTGATCTAGGGGTGTTTTATCACTGAGCCACATCTTCAGTCATTTTTATTTTTTTATTTGGAGGTAGCGTCTTAACTAAGTTGTTTAAGGTCTTGCTAACTTGTTGAGGCTGGCCTTGAACTTGCAATCCACCTGCCTCAGTCTCCAAGTCACTGGATTACTGATGTTACCACCACACCTGGATTTTGGTATGCCATTTCAATTATTTAAGATGAAGAACTTCTAAGAGTTTGTATTTCAGAGGAGGATACCATGACAATGTATTTGCACTTAAAAACCTGTTAAGCATGTGATCTTCAAGTCAGGGGTTCTTAGCACAGGAAAATACAGACAGACAATATGGAATGAATTAAAATCCAGAATTTATTAAGCATTTATGAAGGATGACTGAACATAGGGAGGGAAATGAAGGTGACAGTGACAGGGAAAAATGGCAGATAAGAATCTGGAGGACAATGCAAAAGTAATCATGACTGTAAAGATGAAGGAGCATTTGCATATAGCTATGAAATTCTTCTGAAGAAGTGTGGTCCTACATTCATTAGACAGAAGGTAAAGATCTTAGTCTGAGAATTTCAGGCAAGACCATCCCTCCCCATCTAGAATCTCTGAAGATGGCACAAGATGCATGAAACCTAAGGAAGAAGAGGATGAGGGTGGAGTAGTCTGCACTCCTTGTAGGTGATTCACAGGGTCTTATATGGGGGATGATGCATAGAGTATCTAATGGCAGCATGATGGTCTTCACAAAGGTAGGAAGAGAATTGTGCAATAAATGAAGGCACATGTTAGGATTTTGTGCAGACGTCAGTTCTTTGAGAAGTGATCACGAGCAGCATAGCTAGCAGCAATTGGACACACAGCAACAGGGCTTTCAGCAGGGTGTGCTGCAGCAGTGGGTCACACAGGTTTGCTTGGAGCAGGTCCTACAGCATGTGGTTTTAGAGCAAGCTGGAAGGCAGCAGGGCTGGCAGCAGGGGATGATGCAGCAACTGAGGCAGCAGCTGGGATCACAGCAGGGTGTGCTGCAGCAGCTGACCACACAGGTTGGTTTGCAGCAGGGGGTCCTGCAGCAGGTGGTTTCAGAACAAGTTGGGAGACAACGGGGCTGGAAGCAGCTAGACCCACAGCAGCTGGGTGGACAGCAGGGTGTGCTGCAGCAGCTGATGACACGGGCTGGTTTCCAGCAGGTGGTCTTGCAGCAGGTGGTTTCACAGCAAGTTGGAGAGCAGCAGGGTTGGCAGCAGGGTGTGCTGCAGCAGCGGGTCACATGGGACTTTTTGGAGCAGGTGGTCCTGCAGCAGGTGTTTTTAGAGCAAGTAGGAGGGCAGTAGGGCTGGCAGCAGGGCAAGATGCAGCAACTGGGGCAGCAGCAAGGCTCACAGCAGCTGGGCTTACAGCAGGGTGTGCTGCAGCAGCTGACCACACAGGTTGGTTTGCAGCAGCTGGTCTTGCAGCAAGTGGTTTCACAGCAAGTTGAGGGACAGCATGGCCAGCAGCAGCTGGACCCACAGGTGGTTTTGCCCCTGCAGCTGGACCCACAGCAGCTGGGTGGACAGCAGGATGGTTTCCAGCAGGTGGTCTTGTAACAGGTCGTCCTGCAGCAGGTAGGCTTGCAGCAAGGGGAGCAGCAGGAGCTAGCCATGGTGTGAGCTGTGGAGGGTGGGATCCTGTTCACAGGTGAGTGAGTTTGCACAATATGATGAGTCCTTCTAATTGGGCTCTTTTATCCATGTGGCCTCCAAAGTTTGGACCAATCAGTAGCCCTTTTCCTCATTTTTGTTTATATTATTTTCTACATTGGTTTGTATATGTTAAGGAAGAAGTTGTTTTCAAAATATGATGTGTTTTGAATTTAAGTGTTTAATCTGTTTCTTTTTTGAATGCTTTCATTAGTGCATGATAGTTATTTATAATTGTGGGGTTCAGTTCGACATATTCATACACGCATGTAATGTAATTTGCTCCATTTCAATCCCCACCACTTCCACTTTTCATCCCTTACTCTTTTTCTCTACTTGTTTTCCTTCTATTTAATTACTGTGTTTTTTGATGAGTGTTCTATTTACATACATAAAGTAGAATTTTCTCTTGGTATTTTAATTCATGTGCATATTTTGGTCAACTTCATTCCCCAGTCCTTCCCCTTTTCCACTTCACCTTCATCTTCCCCAATGCCCTTCCTCTACTCCACTGATCTTCTTTTCTATTTCCGTAGGATCCCCCCTTTGATAAAATTCCTTATTTCTCTCTCACTTTCACATGTGAGATAAAACATTCAACCTTTGACTTTCTGGATGCAAATGTTTTTTTCCCATTTGCATCCATTTACCAGCAAATGGCATAATTTTTCTTTATTACACTGCACAATATTCCATGGTACATACATTTATTTGGTAATTCCATGGTACATACATTTATGACATTTTCTGTATCTGTTTGATTGTTGATGGGCATCTGGGATGGTTGTATAGCTTGGCAATTGTGAGTTTCACTGCTCTACATATTGATAGGCATGTATCAGTATAGTATGTTGATGTTAGTTCTTCTGGATAAATACCAAGGAGTGGGATAGCAGGAATAGTGGCTAGAGTGTGAAGAATTGTATTAAACAGGAGTGGTGAGAGTGGATATCCTTGCCTTGTTCCCGAGTTTAGAGGAAATGCTTTCAGGCTGTTCTCCATTCTTTATGATGTTAGAATTGGTTTAATCTATATAACCTGTGTGATAACAAAGAAAGTTTCTTCTATCGTTAGTTTCTTCAGCATTTTTAATATTCATGGGTGCTGGATATAGCAAGGATTTTTCTGCATCTATTGAGATGATTATGTCATTTTTGTCCTTAATTCTATTTATGTGATGTGTTACATTTATTGATTTTTATATGTTCAACCAAACTTGCAACCCTGAGATGAAACCCTGGTGATAATGGTAAGCAATTTTCTTAATTGCTTACTTCTTGTCCTAAATGTGGTCTATTTTAGAGATGGTGCCATGTGTGGTTGAATGCAGATTGCTAATATTTTATTAATAAATTTTACACCTATGTTTATCTGTGATATTGGTCTGTAGTTTTCTTTTCTTGATTTTTTTTTCCTGGTTTGAGTATTGGGGTGATTCTGGCTTCATAGAACGAATTTGGGAATGTTATCTCCCTTTCTATTTCATGGAAAATTTTGAGAAAGTTATTTTTTTCTGAAGGATTGGTAGAACTCAGTTGAGAATCCATCTGGTACTGGGCTTTTCTTTGTTGGAAGACTTTTAATTGCTGCTTGCATCTCAGTACTCGGTATTGACCTGTTTAGGTTTTCTGTGTCCTGTTGCTTCAGTCTGGGTAGATCATATCTATATAGAAACAAGTCAGTAACTTCTAGATTTTCCAGTTTATTGGAGTATAATTTTTCAAAACAGTTTCTAATGATAACCTGGATTTCAGAAATGTCTGTGGTGATATTTCCTTTCTCATTTCTATTTTGTTGATTTGGGTCCTCTCTGTTTTTGGTTAGCTTGGTTAATTAAGGGTTTATCAATTTTTCCTACCTTTTCAAAGAGACATTTTCTAGTTGCATTGATTTTTATATTGATTATTTTAATTCCCAATTTCATTTCTAATCTTAATTATATCCTGACTTTTACTGGTTTTGGATTAGCATTGTTTTTCTTCTTCTAGGGACTTGAGGTATAGTATTAGTTTTTTTTATTTGGGATCTTTCTGTCCCCCCCACCCACCCCGGCTCAATGTAGGCCCTCAATGCTATAAACCTTCCTCTAAGAACTGCCCTAATATTATTCTGATGATTTTGAAATGTGTATCACTGTTCTCATTTGTTTTTATGCCGCAGTCTGGCTGGGCACAATCAGGAGCCACTTGTCAAAAGAAACTAACTTTATTTTTAGAACCACACACGCCAAACAAAACAGCCTCTCAGGAAAAACCCTCAGAGCCTCAACTGCCACCACCGGCTTCCCACAAGCCTCTCTATCCCCCACCAGCTTCTCCCCACCTCCCACAATCCTCCTGCTCTTGAGGCCGATTGGCTGGGTCACGTGGGCGGAGCCAAAAAAGTCCCCCAATGAGCAGCTCCGTGGTCTGAAAGGGCAGGGAAACAGCCCAATGAGCATCACCGCAGAGGAGCCAATCAGCTAGATGTTGCTAGATGTCATTGTTTGCTTTCTAACCTGATTTCTTCTATGATCTATGCTTGATTGGAAGCACATTTTCCAGTCTTCATGTGTTAAAATAGTTTCTGTTTTTTGTCTTGATATTGATTCCTAATTATATTCAGGTATGATCTGATAGGATGGAAGGAATAATCTCGATTTCTTTTATTCACTAAGACTTACTTCTTGTCCCAAAATGTGGTCTATTTTAGAGATGGTGCCATGTGTGGTTGAGAAGAAAGTGAATGTGGTTGCTAACGGATGAAATAGTTTATAGATGTCTGTTAGCTCCTTTGGATTAATAGTTTGTTTTAAATTTTATTTTCTGAAGAATCTTTACTTAGTTTATGTCTGTATGTTCTATTGGTGAGAGAAGGGTTTGAAACCACCCAGTATTCTTGTATTATAGTCTCAAAGAATCTATACATTGAGTAGCGTTTAATTTATGTACATAGGTGCATTGATATTTGGGGAATAAATATTTACACCCATTATATCTTGTTGTTGGAGAATTCTTTTACCCAATACAAATTGTGCTTCTTTGTTTCTTCAGGTTAATTTTGGCTTGAGGTCTACTTTGTCAGATTTGAGACAGTAGCTACTTCCTCTTCCTTTTGGACTTACATCTTTTTCTATCCTTTCAGCATCAGCTTGTGGATATCTTTAAGGTGAGTCTCTAGTAAACAACATATGGATGGCTTTTCTTTTTTAATCTACTGTTCCAATCTGTGTGCTTTTAATGAAGACTTTTTCTGTCTATGTCTTTTTAATGAGACCATTCAGTGGTGTTATAGAGAGATGATTTTTATTTCCTGACATGTTGATTTATTACTAATGTTTACTTCAGTCTTGATTCTCCTTTACTAGTATTATCCTAGTGAGAATCATCCATTTGTTGGCTCTGATATTTCTTCTTCATTGCTTCTATATATAATCTGTCATTATTATGTTCTGTAGTAGCTTAGTGGTAATGGATTCTTTTAGTTTCTGTTTATCATGGAAGGGTTTCTTTCTTTCTTTTTCTATCTTCAATGCTGAATGATATGGTTTGCTGGATATAACTATCTTGGTTGCCACTCATTATCTTTCAGAACCTGGTAAATGTTCCAACCCTCTTGGATTTTGCAGTCTGGGCTGCCAAATGAGTGGAAAGTCTAATTGGCTTATCTCAAAACGTGAACTGCTGTTCTGCTGCTCTATCCTTGGACTGTATATTAGACATTTTAATTATAGTCTGTCTTGGTGAGTACTTTTTTATTGTTATTTTTTTTATTTTCATGTGTTATATATGACAGCAGAATGCATTACAATTCATATCACATGTATAGAACACAATTTTTCATATCTCTGGTTGTACACAAAGTAGAGTCACACCATTTGTGTGTTCATACATGTACTTAGGGTAATGATGTCCATCTCATTCCACCATCCTTCTTACCCCCATTCCCTCCTCCCTTCCCCTCCCTCTCCTTTGCCCTATCTAGAGTTCATTTAAACCTCCCATGACTCACACCCCAAACACATTATGAATTAGCCTCCTTAAATCAGAGAAAACATTTGGCTTTTGGGGTTTTTTTTGGATTGGCTAACTTCACTTAGCATTATATTCTCCAACTCCATCCATTTACCTGCAAATGCTAAATAATATTCCATTGTGTATATATACCACATTTTTTTATCCATCCATCTACTGAAGGACATCTAGGTTGATTCCATAGTTTAGCTATTGTGAATTATGCTGCTATAAACATTGATGTGGTCGTGTCCTTGTAGTATGCTGTTTTTAAGTCCTTTGGGTATAGACGGAGGAGTGGGATAGCTGGGTCAAATGGTGGTTCCACTCCCAGTATTTCAAGGATTCTCCATACTGCTTTCCATATTGGCTGCACCAATTTGCAGTCCCACCAACAATGTATGAATGTGCCCTTTCCCCCACATCCTTGCCAATAATTATTGTTTGTATTCTTAATACCTGTCATTCTGACTGGAGTGAGATGAAATCTTAGAGTGGTGATTTGCATTTCTCTGATTGCTAGAGATGTTGAACATTTTTTTTACATATTTGTTGATTGATTGTATATCCTCTTCTGAGAGGTGTCTGTTCAGTTCCTTGGCCCATTTATTCCTTGGCCCAGTGTGAAATTTCCTGAAAGAATCAGACATAGAAATACCACACAATCTATCAATCCCACCTCTGGGTGGATAGGGGAAAGAATGGCATCAGAAACTTGAAGAGATCTCAGCACCATCATGTTCAAGACAGCACTAGGAACAACAGCCAGACTGTGGAAGCAAAACAAATATCCATGGATAGAGGAATGGATCTAGAGAATATGGCAGAAACCTGGAATACTATTTAGGTTTAAAAGAGAAGGAAATTCCCCTCTTATGTACTAACTTGGATGACCCTTAGCCTTCTTTCCTCCATGAACTAAGCCAAGTACAGAAGGATGAACACTGCAGGATTCCACCTATGTGAGGTATGTGAAATAGATCAACTATGATA